GTCATAGAAGAAGATCAGGTTGGTCAAGCAGCTCAATGATTAACTGAACCCAGAGAACAGAACTGATATAGTATGACTTCCCTTTTCAAATATTTACTCTAATTTTATGTATCATGATACAAAAAGTTGAGTTTTCTAATATCATCAGAAGGTTTTAAAATTTAATGTAGGTATGCAAAGAAATATGACTTTGGTATTTTAATGGTTTGTTTCAGTTGTAAAATTTGTATCTTTCTGATTGCTTGATTTTTCAGCAATCATTTGATTTGGGTAAATGCAATATTCAGCCAACTATGGCAACTATATTGTTACTTCTAATTATACATTTAAAGAGTTTGCTATTTAGAAATTATAAGAGTTCTACTTACTGCTTAATTCCTTTTAGGTTCTGTGGTCTTTGGAATTGGGCCATTGGATCTCAGAGGAACCATATGAGCTTTCATCCAGCTTCCCTGCAGCTCCTGTAAGTTTAATGACCCTTTAAGCTTGTGAACTTTCTTTTGTTTATCTAGAAAATTACTTGCCCTCTAAATAGGTTTTGTGAACAAGAAGGCCTACTAGAAAAAATGTTTTTTTTAAAGCAGATACTGTAAGGACTTATTTTCTCCTTTGTCCACTACTTGTTCAAGTGTGTGCAAAAACTTTGGTATGCATGGAAAATGCAAAAAAAAATGATTCACCAATTAACGTCTGAATAAACTAACTTCTTAGTTAAGAATAAATGTCCTTTAATTTATCTGTGGCATATTTTATTTCTATCTGTGCTTGTATATAAACTGGAGAGGCATGTTATTGCCTAATGGAAAGATTATTGAGGTCATGGACTCAGTATTTTCAGTCTAGAAATTACTTTGGCAATGGAAAAGTACTGTGGGCTTCTAAAACTACTAAGTAGGTACAATGAAGCATTTTTCTTCTCTTTAATGATCATTCCCAAATACTGAATTGTGAACTAGTGCAAAAGTGTGTATGTGGAAGCACGGTGTATTTGCAGACCCAAGTGTATCTGCACTCCATTGCTTAAACAGTAATTTTATTCTGGTTTTTAAAAAAGTAGAATTCTAGCAGGTTACTAGTCAATCACTCTAACAGTTTTGCCAAAAAAGGTTTCACAATTTCTCTTCTATTGTAGCAGCTAGTTAAATACATTATCATCTGCTACTTGTTTCTCAAAGTTTCATTCGGGCTTTGAAGAAAGAACATTTAGTGGGGTTTGAACTTTATTCTTACTATAATTTTATTAACTGTTAAGAACTTATTTTTAACATTCTTTCCAAATCTATAATTTATGTAAATTTAGATGTTCAAGGTGAAGACTTTTATTTCATAAGTTGTATGTTCTCAAAGCGTAGGGAAACTAACAGTTATTCTGAAATAAGCCCAAAGAAATTAATCATCTAGTACAATGTAGTATTTTTTCTAAAAGGAAGAAGTAGATTTATATAGCAAATACATTAAGAATGGTAAAACTTAATGTGAAAAATAAATAAGAAGCATGTTCTTTTCTGTATTTGTATGAAAAAAAGAACAGAGTACTTCAGAGTAATCTGTTTTGAGTTTTCTGTTTCTTCTCAGACTACCTTGTTTAATAACTAAGTATGCTATCAGTAACAACTTACATAGCATTCTTTGGAAGTGGTTCCTGCTGGGCTTGTTTTTCATTTATTTTACAGTTTTTATTCCTAGAGCAGAAGTAAGGAGGGCTTGAGATACTGTGAGAAGATGAAATTAAGGGAGGTTATGGTTATGCAGAAAATCTGAATTACTTCTGCTTGCAGTGTGCTCCTCTTGCTGGGGAACGAAGTCGGTGTCCAAGGTGATATTTCCATCACCTTTCCAGTCATTCCCTTCTTGCATCATTCTGGTTTCTTACTGTAACAGATATCTTACTTGTAAAGATATGATTATTATTTGAGCCTGAATGGTGTTTATATTCTCTTTCTTTTCTTGTTATTTCTTCTCTGCTTCCTAAAAAGTATTTAGAGAAAATAGAAGTGCATTCTAGTTTTATATACCATTTATTTGGTTACAGGAAGGAATTAAATGAAGGGGTTATCTTGCTGTTATGTTTTAATTGTTTGTACCAAGTCCAAAGCAGTTGTTGCAGCCTTCTTTTTCCTATTATTGCATTTCTTCCTGAATGTTCTCCTCTCACTTCACTTTGGTGTTTGCAGTTTAAGCCATCCAATCTCAATTAGATAAAATGTAATTTAAAGACATATTAAATCTAAAATTTTATATCTGTGTTGATAAATTACTCCTTTTTCCCCAAAAATGAAAAAGTCTCATTAAAGAATTGATCCATTCAATGTCTACATCAATATCTTCGATCACTTTTCCAGAACAGTCATCAAAAAGCCTTAAGCTTTATAAAGACTTTTTTCCAGCAAATGAAAACTAGCCATGCAATATTTAATTATTCTTGCCATACAGCGTTTTCTTACTGAAATAATGAAGATTAATGTCAACCAGAAGTTAGCACTATTTTCCTTTGCCAGGTTGAGCATTCATACTGTGCCAGATTCCATCATGGTTTTTAAGCAGCTTTTTGGGTTTTTTAGATTATTGAGCTGATTACGCTTGCTATCTCAAACACTGGGAGTATTTTCTTTAGTTGTCTGACTAAATGCAGTGAAGCAGGAAATTCAGTAATCTAGACTTAGCATTTCTATTAAATTTCATAGAATCATAAAATATTTTAGATTAGAAGGGACCTCTGAAGGTTGTCTAGTTCAATGCTGTGCTCCAAGGGACTTGTCCAGTCCATTCTCATGGTAGTAAGTGGAATAAATTAAAAAGAAAATCCAGTTTCCTGGGTTCCAGCTTGTGTTTGCTGCCTCTTGTCCCATGCAGTGCACCTTAAAGAGGAGTCTGGCTCTGTCTTCTCGATGTCCTTGATCAGGTAGTTGTAGACACCAGTAAAGTCGCCCCTTACCCTTCTCTTTTCCAGGCTGAAGAAGGCCAGCTCCCTCAGCCTTTCCTGGTATGTTATGTGCTTGTTGATATGTCTGCCTCCTTTACTAGGAGGCCACCGCTAGCTTGGTGGCCCTCTACTAGGCTTGCTCTTTAAGATATTTCTTATAAATTCATGAAGGCAATTTTGTGAAGTATTTTTTTAGTTTAGGATATGTTTATCCTTACAAGCTTGGTTGGAGAAACAATGAAGTACTTAAACAGTAATCTTAAATACATTCAGATTATTTTATGCAACTCTTCAGGTGATGGCGGTTAATTTACATTCATTAGGTTTATTTAAAATCAGATTATGAAGTAACATTAGAATTATTTTTTGTCTCTGCTACCTTTTAATAATGCTGACGTGTTCAGTGAAGAATGATGGTGTTGTGAGTGGTGGGGTACTCCAGCAGCAGCTTTAATGACTGTCAGTATGAAATGAATTTCTTCCATCTTTCTCAAAATCAAAGATACAATACCTTTTGTTAAGTAAGCCTCCAGAAATGTTGTGTCTGGGTTTTTTGTTTTGTTTTGGTATGAGATATGTTCTAGTCTTGTAACTAATTCAGTCATCTGCTGAAAATAATAATTTCCAAAATTATTACTTTAAAGCAAAGACTAAGCATGAGAATTAACACCTAAGGTTAATTTGGGGAAAAATCTGCACAAAATTATTTTGTGTGCTTTATGAAGAAATAGCTTCTCAATCTGAACTACAGTGTACACAATTTTAAAAGCATATAGTAATAAAAAAAAATAAGAAAAGAAAAAATCACCCAGTAGAGTAATTTATTCACATTGTGTTATACACTGAGGGCCTACCTACAGAGAATTTCTAGGGAGAAGTCCTAACCTTACTGAAAAAAAAACAGTAGTGTAACCTTAGATAACTTTCAGATTTTTTTTCCTGTTTTTAAAATGTAGTAATTTGTATCTTAATTCATGAGCATAAATTTAATACTATCAAAGAACATGCATAAGGTTTTCAGTTAGGTTATTTTTACAAAACGTACAGATGTACTACAGCACCAGGTGATAACTGATTGTCATAGACAAACGGACATTTGGTGTTAATGCCATTGTCTCGGTTTATAAAATACTGATAAGTTATTTTACAGGTAAATGACAAGAAAAGGAAAAAAGTGCAATCTTCATAAAAATATAAAGAAACACATACTATATTTAATTTGCAGGGATTTTCGTAACTTAAAGATAGATAGACTGTAATAAGTACAAACTGAAAGAAATGGTGATTTTTGTACATGGTATTTCCCAAGAATAAATGCAAAGTACTTAAATGCTATTTGTCCTCTGTTAAATAAAGTAATACAGGCTATTGGAAAAAATCCCTGAATAAGTGTAAGAAGTGGTTTAGGAGACTATCGGGGGAAAGAATGTATTCTTTAACTACAGGATTGAGCTAATTACAGGACATTGGGGGTTTTTATGTACATAAAAGGCAAACATGACACAGAGAGATAAATAGTTCTAGATCTAGTTAAGTGTTTTATATTAGAGTAATGTTTAAAGTTCAGTGATGAGGCAAAATGCATATTTCTAAAACTATTTTAGGTATTTTTCACAGTTCCAGTTATTTACTAATACATACATAACATAAATGATCAGTAAAACAGAGTCCTTAAGTTGTCTGACAGTTTCTTGGATGTTCTTTTTATTCAGTCGTTTGGCCAAATCACTGTTATACCAGGTTGATGCTTTAGAGTTTGTGTCTGGTTGAATAATATGAACTTTAGCTGATCAAGGCTATTGCAATTCAGGAATTGTACTGAACTGATCCCTTCAGAACACTAGCACATGTTTTCTGGGCTTGAAAATGAGACGAGTTGCAGATGTGTGTTTATATGCTCAGCAAATTAAGTCTTTGAAGACTATACAATACATAATTCACATAATGCAAAAGCATTTAGAAATCTGCTGGTCGAATCATCATAGTTGTGGCTTTGAGAGAGTATCCCGAGCCCTTCCAGTAGTACCACTTGATACCATTGAACTTGTTGTTGTTCTGTCGTAATGGATAATACATTCCGTTGAGGTTAGAAGGACCACATGCATCAAACCACCATCCTGCAAGACCGAAAACAAATGGAAACATCAGCAGATGAAAATGGCAGCACAGGTAATTTTCATAATACTATATAAGGACACTTCATTGTCCTGAAATGAAAGGGAAATCGAAAACCAGATTTTCATTCTTATGATTTGGAAATGTTAGGATAAAATATGTCCCTCAAACTCAGCAAGGGAATGTCTTTGTGTATTCACTACAAATTTTTGAAGCTTATGTAATACAAAGTAGTTTAAAATTGAGAAGGGAAGGCCTTCAATTGAGCTTAATTTATTATCAATATCAAACATCATTGTTGACAGCCTCAGGGCAGAACTTGACTTGGACTATAATAATACTGAGTCTTCTTTGGTTTTTATCTACTCTTTGGTAAATTCCTGTTCTTTGCAAATTTAAATTTTCTTAATTATTTTTAGAGGATTAATTCAGTTATCTGTTTCATTCTCTGAGCAGATTAGTTCAAAACCTCTGTGCTGAAACTTGGTAAGAAGCAAAAGGAGAAAAAAGCAGCCCAACTTATTTTGTATCCTTGTGGTCCTGACCTGTTAGTGGGTCATAAGGAAAATTTATTTTTATTAATAAAATAATATTTTTATACTTCTGTGATGATGGCGATAATGTGTGTGTTCTGTTTTGCAGGGCAGTAATCCAATTATCCTTTTGGATAAACTGAAGCTGTCTTTTGTCTTGCAACTTGTGCTATAGGGAAACAAACTATTGCTTAAGAGGTAACAGGAAGCGAAGTCAAATTTACAAAGCAGTTGTTTACATTTCAGAATGTGGAACTCTAGATGCACAAATTACTGAATGGCTTGCATGGTTCAAGATAAAATTACCACTTAAAACTCCAATAACTAGTGCATACTCATTTGACAAATGTAGATATCTCATATATGTGGTGTATCTTAAATTTATGTATCGCCATTTCATAAGAATATTGAAATATGGAATTAAATATTTGTACCCTTCTGTGGCATGTACAGTATACAGCAGCTTTTGGGGTTTTCTTCTCTGGATAGTTAGGTTTGTGCCTAAAGAATCAGGCACCATTTCACTGACCAACTGAATCGCTAAAACAACTTGGGGATGACGACACATAAGTGTTTTGATCTCTGTGACTATGTTATCTCATTCTTTGGAAGAATCTGCTGTCAACGCTGGTTAGTTCCACAATTACAGACTTTCTTGTACCCCAACTTGAGACTGGGGGTTTTTTTCCAGTTTTAACTTCTCTTGTTTTACTTTAAGTAACCTTTGTCCAATGATAAAATATTTAATTTGCAGTCACCGTACTAGCGTTTCTATCTGTGAGTTTTGGACTTCTTCAATAGTCAAAATTTACTGTCAGAATTATCACTATTTATCTCACAGACAATTTCAGTGCCAATAAAAATAGGAAGACTGAGGAAAAAAAAACATTCCTACCTCCTGTTAGCATTTGTGAACATTTGCAAATACATTTGTCATTGTCTGCATCCTTTGTGCTAAAATCATTTCCTGGTTGGCTTATACTACTTATTTTGCCCGCTGTCCCAGTAAGTCCTTTAAGGTAAATCCTGTAGAAGTGAGGAATGGAAAAACAATTATTACGTGGAAGTTAATGGTAGTTGATCTGCAAAATAATGATGGAATAGTTTGCAATAAATATCCTGTTCAAATAGCTCACTTCTGGCCAATGTACTGTTGTAAGCTGTTTTGCAGCATAATGTTTTCACATGAGCAGAAATGATCAGCACAATATTCTAATGAACAGCTTCCACATTTGTAGATGACTGTTTTGTTCATGTCATATTAGAAGAAAATGATAGATAGATAATAACTCCTGGAATTTTTCCTATGTACCATGCATTTCTTAATACTGTAAACACATTGTGTGCAAATTTTTTTTTAATCAAGTTCAAAAGTTTAAACCAAAACTTTTTTGATTCCTATTTTGCTGTTAGCACAACATGGCAATGTAGCATTACAACTTTGCATCTGAGAGATAATAGCATCACCTGGACTACTAATTACCAACCAGTAACCTATATTTTAGGAGTCTGTCAATATTTCCCTGTCTGCTTTCCTAATTACTCTTCCTTGTCACATCCTTCATAGATTTATTAGTGTTAAATCACAGAATCATTTAGGTTGGAAAAGGCTCTAGCCTTAATTTTCATTTTCAAGTCTAATTTAAGCAGCCTATTATTAGTTTTTTATTATCATTATTATTATTCAATTTTTAGAAGTATGGGTTAGTATAACAGAAGATGAGAGGCAGTGGATGTAAATTGAAATGAGAGGTTCTGACTGAATATCAGGAAAACTTTTTTCACCGTGAGGACAGACAAGCAGTAGAACGGGTTGTGCAGTCTCCACCTTTGGAGGTTGTCAAGACCCATGTGGATAAAGCCCTGAGCAACCTGGCCTGATCTCATAGCTTTGAGACCAGGAAGTTTGACTCAAATGAAGTCCATTCTGATTTCAATTTTTCTATGAATTTATGAAATGTCACTTTTATGACCCAACTCATAATCTTTCCAGCATTCAGAATGTAGTAATGTTTCAACGTAATGGAAGTTGCTCCATTAATGGAATACTTTCTTAGTTTTTTCTTGTTCATAATGTTAAACATATTCTTTAATCCACTGCATTCTATGATGCATTCCATGTTTGGTTGCATTTTAAATTAAAGTATCTATTTACAGACAGTTTTTAGTCATTATTTTTTAATATGGTAAGTGGACAATGGTAATGACCCATTTTGCAAGGTTGCCTTTGTAAGTATTTTAAAGTATTACTTTAAAAAAATCTCTGCTGTAGATTTGGACTCTCCAGATGAAAAAATATTTGCTTTGGAGTTGAGACAACTGTATACTACTAAGGCATTAAGATCTAATGTTTTGGGGGAGGGAGATACTGATCATTTTGGACTGCTTTGCATATAAGGCTTGAGTTGAAGTAACAGCATCAGTTCTGTTGAGTGTCAGATTGACTTTGTTTACAACAAATAGTTGCTAAAAATCTTGGAGACTTTAATCTAAATTTAGGCATTTTTTCTGTCCAGTCACCTAAAGCTCTATGAATCTGTCAGATTCTTATAAACATTTCCTGGACCGTGTAGTAGGAAAGCATCTGTTATTCTGCAGAGTCTCTAGTTTCTTCTGTAACCAATCAAACAATATCTACTGAATTTACAGAGAGCCTGGAGAATGAAGTATGAACTGCCCATATATTTCAGCTGTGGCTCATACTGTTTCAAAATATGTAACACTGTGATACTATTTAAAATGTATACTACTATGATAATATTTGTTTATATATAAAGTATTTATTCAAAATGTATGTTATTTGCTATTTTAACCAAATATGTAAGAAGAATTTGTGAAGCTTTATGTTTTACAGAATGATGGAAGCATAAGTAATAGGCTCATTAAAATCTGGTGTTTAAATTGACAAGTTTGTAGGGGGTGAGACTGGACATTTTCACAGGTAGGAGTGTTATTCTTCAAGAATCCAAGCCAGTGGGTCATGGAAGGAGAAGGTAGCATTACCTCAGTGTGCTCTGCATGACAACAGAATAGCTCTACTAGCCACTGACTTAATTGAAAAATCTTCTTGCAGTACTGTTCATCTTAGTCATCCACCTTGCAGAAATTTATTTATTGCCTGGAATCAGGATTTGATAGCAACTGCAGACAGGTTCCTATTGCCCTGGATGTGGTGCACTGCCATCCGCTGTGTTGGCAAGCGTATCCCATCCCATCCCATCCCATTACTGTTACCATTCTATTACTGTTACCATTCCATTACCGTTACCATTCCATCACCATACCATACCATCATTTCATCTCTGTGCATCTTGTTTGTTACACTTACCCAGTGTGCACTAGTGAAATATACATTGTATCCGTTGGGAAAAAAATTATTATTAAGACTGTTTTAAGCAATAGGTGAAAATTGGAGCGAACATTATTTTCTGAGTGAATTGAAAATCGTCATAATTTGTATGAAATAAGGTCATGCATCTACACAGCCTAGAAATATTATTATCAGATCTTTTTTTATTCAGATCTGATTTTTCTGCTTACCTGTATTTTAGTTCTTCACTTGCTAGAGAGAAGTGGTCATACAATGAATATGCCTCGTTTCCTTCCCAGTCTTTCAGGTGTATTTTAAGAACATAACGCTTCTGATTAGTCAGTTGAGAAACAAACTCATTTCCCAGCCAGTACTCCCCAGCAGGATCACCAAACCCCTGTAATACAAGTTGTAAATTTAAATAGCTTTGTTTTGTTTTTTTGTTTGAGTTTGAAATGACCACTTTAGCAGTTTTTAAGTTCAATAGTTTTCAATCTGTCAACTAAGAATTTCACTGTGTCTATGAGGGTTATCGATCTGTAACATTTCAAAAAGTTTGTTTCAGCAAAGACAAACTCAGGAATCTGAAATAGTGAATCAATATTACTTAGAAGATTTGGAGCAGTTTCTACTGTTGTCACTAGAAACACAAATATAAATAACTCAAAACATGTGGACATATCATGGAACAGTTGATGAAAGAAAAGTGAGGTTTTTCTTTAAAAACAAACATCACACTTGCAAGTCTGCTTAGGCAAACAACTTACACTACTCTGACATTTCCAGAATGAACATCTAAGGACAAAGACAACTTCTAAAACCTGCTTACATTCTAAGGATGCTATTAATAGAACTTCATTATATCAGATTTCAGTTAATAACAACTAATATTAAGGCTTCAGAAAACATTGTTTACCATCTTGTACTCTTTCCATGTCCGGTGAAAGTCTACAGTGCCATCTTCACGTCTCTGAATAATGGTCCAACCTCCTCCACCAGTTTCCATGTCACAGTAGGCCTACCAGAGTAAGCATGTAACAGCGTAAGTGCATGCAGTCATGGGAAAACAAAAATAAAAAACACGTGCTTTGCAGAATTCTATATAGTGACACATTTTAAAGTCTACAAGTGCAAAATGTGTATTAACCTAAAAATGCTGGTTTAGGAAGTTTATTTTTTTTTACCATTTCTGACAAGATACTGAAGTTCTGAGTCGTCTGCAGAATTATTTCACATCTTTGTGAAGTTATAGTTTGAGTATTAAACTACATTAACTTCTAATCTGTATTCTAGGTCTTTCATCAATTAAGTGAAGTTCCATCTTTCCATTTACAGCAGTAGAGACAAGATTTGGCTTCTTATACTTTGGTAGGATATTTCATCTGTAGAGATTAAAAAAAAAAAACCAAACAAAAATACCCACCTAGACTTGACAGTTTCATTAGCAATTTGGATGTTCCCTTCTTTGTTTAAAAAATCTCTTAGCGGTCTTCCTTCTTACCCAGCTTATTACTGCTGCTTGTCACAGTGTGCCTATAAATGCCCCAAACTGTGACTGAATGACACTGAAGCTGTATGTCTTTTTCATCCTCTTCTACAGGAGTTTGTCTTATCGGTGTTAGCAATTAGCAGATTTGAGTTCTTTGAACTGTTAGACATCCTCAAAATTAATTGAAAAAATATGACTTCAGAGAAGCCAGTTTCCTTCTGTCCTGTGGCAGTGTTTTCTATCATTTTAGGAAGTAAAGTGTGCTCCTTACTAAGTTTTCAATATAGTTGGCTCTTTTAGGGTATGCATGTATTTCTGTGTATGTGTATTGTACATACGTTACAGACACATGCACACACACATATATAAATCAAGCAGGGTATTTACAATGCAAGCAGTGGCATATATACTGTTCAAAGGCATCAGTCTTTTGAAGGGAAAGCAAGCCCTTAGACCTGCAATTATTAAACACATTAAGAAGAAAAAGAGTTGGATTAGGGTAAAGTATGTCATGTGAACAGAATTTAATTGAAAACAGCGACTTTAAGTTGTACTGCTGCATGCAATTCCTTGCACCTCAAAGCTTATTTTTTAGGTTTTTTTACTAACCTCTGTATTTAAGAACTAGTAACGGTATAGTAATAGGATATAAATTACATTTAGTAAAAATAAAACTTTTTTGGTTTTATAAATAAAAGGCTGAAAATAAGGTATTGTAAAAAATGATCGAGATTTTTAGAAAGCTAACTCATTCGATGTAAAACGCGTACATGAAAATTAATTTCCACAGGAGGTTATGAAGAGGGACACTAGGGGTAGGCTAAAGGAGATGCAGATACCTTTATTAAGTATGACTGCAAGTTAAAATTGCTGATTTAACAGTGGACAAGTATCATTGGTTGTAGAGGAAGTTGTTGACTCTGAAGCTTCACACTACTGAACGGACAGTGTAAGTAGCCAAACTGAGAACAGAACTGTTTCACTTTTCTTTGAAACATGTAGTTTTTAACTACTTAGAGAGAGAGGCTAGGTATTAATTTACATGGGCCACTGGTCCAGTCTAATATTTCTATTGTAGACATTAATTGATGTTTTTCAATGTCACATACAATTTCCTTGAGGTCTATCATCTAAATTTCAATTCAGCTGGAATCATTACTTTGAAGATATAAATGCCTAAAAATAGCACTTTATTTAGTTCTAATGAGCTTAAATTATTCTCAAACAGTGAATGACTGTGAATGTATTACATAAAATACCCCTGCTATAGCCAGTATCCATTCTGTATGTGAATGGTAAGACAACTAGCTTTATAAAAGCCATTTGACACTATGGACACTACAGACTCTTTGGGATAAATGCTGGGGTACTGCAAATTTGTTCCCAAAGGGAGAAGCAGTTCAGCAGGAACTGACCCACATAATAAGAAACTGAAGAAGAGAATCATGTAGATCTTGTAGGTCTCATGTAGATTTTTCTTACTGGTAACGATTTTAAAAATTTTATGTCAATTCGGGAGCTTAATTTTTCAACACCAAAAAATTTCAGGTCAGTCATCTGTAAGTGCTTCTAAAAGATGCCAGTTTTATGGCTTTGGAAAGGGAAATCCTTTCCTTTCTTGGGTGGAAAGTGTGTCATAGGCAAAATGAATGTACTGGTTATACCAGCTCCTTCTAGTGTCATAGTAACTATTTTAAAAGATGAGAAGATTATTGTTGTTTGACATTTCAATGTATAGTTTCTAACTAACTGCTGTACTTCCTGGTTGCACACTTGCTCCCTGGAACTAGCTAAAAAGTGAAAATTCTTTTTACCACCTATTAAGTATCATACAGTGAAATGTTCTGCTTTCAGGCATGACTGGCAATTCAGAACCCTGTCTTTCAAGCCCTCACGTATGCACTTCGCTCATGAAATCATAACTTTGCTTTCCAGATCACACATGTAGACGTGGCACTTCAGGACGTGGTTTAGTGGGTATGGTGGTGTTGGGTTGATGGTTGGACTTGATGATCTTAAAGGTCTTAATGATTCTGTGATTTCCCTAGAAATCAATTCTCTGATTAAACAAGATGAAAATACTTACTGTAAAACTAGGAACTTCAAATTTACATACACACTTGATTTTTAATTTGGGAAAGACTAAAGTCTATGAAGAAAAATGGCAGTAAAGATTACAGAAAGCAAATTAATAAGTTTATCTATTTTTGTTACTTTTTACCAAAAATACTTAAGTGAATTATGTATATTCATAAGTAATTTTAAGGATGGAGCTGTTCAGTAAAATGAAGATTAAGGAAAGGATTTGCTTAGTTTGGAATAAACACAATAAATTGCTGTGTCAGTCTGCAGAGGGAACAATTTCTTCATGATGTATGTGAAAGACGAGGGGAAAGGAAGCTTTTATTTGGACTACAGCTTCTTTTTTTAAAAAAATCTTCACTCTCCAGTAAAATGATATGCATATGAAGCTTTCTCTAACACTTATTACTAGAACAGAACTGTTCTGACCTTTCAGCCTGGCCTAGGTTTTATATTCTAAAGGAATAAATGTAACATTTCATAAAACTAGTAAAAATAGATACCAAGATTAGGCAGGCAGCAGGAGTCTTCAAACAGATGCCAAAAAGAATAAAGAGATTAGCCTCTCAAATTACAACAAATTGGCAGGGAGAATATTTGATTTATCTTGTGAACTGCTTCAGTACTTACAGTTCTAGCAGCTGTAGCACTGTGAAAGCTAAGGTCAGCTGTTTATATTTTTCACCTTCAGCTAAAGATCAGCGCTGCATTTTTGAAAATGCTGTAAGGTACATGGAACCTGAAGTAGTCTCTTTTCTAAAGATTATAACATGTAAGCTGTGAGCAGTCAATTTGATGTCTTTACTGTCTAGGAAGCTGACTTGCAGCGAAAGTAGGATTTTTTCATTTTTCTTGTACATTAGGATATTTGGTGTATAAGTGTTTTCAGACCTGCTTTTGAATGGAAAGGCTTTTGGCTGAGTTATCAGGATGAAGATCCACTACAGTTTTAATACCAAAGCAAGTGCTGTTGCCACATCTGTGCAGTTGCCCTTTGCATCACTTTTGGCTGTTGTCTGAACACTTTTGAGTCATGATGCTCAATGATTTTGTATTCTGCTATGTCCAGCTCTTAGAGATGTGACTAGATCAGAATTGTGGTCTTAGTTTCCTTGTTCTGGAAAAATTTCACCTAACACCAGTTTCCAGTGAAAAAGACAAATGATGAGAGTTCTAAAATTCACAAAAAAACCCCTTTATCTGACTTCTTACTGTACCGGAGAAGCTACATATATGTTCTTTTTTAATGCTTGGGGTTGGAAGCAATTTCTGTATGCATATTTTAGATGTAAGGTCCATGGCATGGGCTCCTTTTGAAATGACTAGATAGTTGTCTGGATGACCACTTTTTTCGGAAAGATATGCAAAATCATTTTTGTTGGTAAATTCAACCTTCCCCAGTTCACTTCCTGCAAGGAAGTTTTGGTTAAAAAGGCCTTGGCTTAGAACGTGTGTCGGTTCTGGGATGAAAATTGACCTCAACAGGGGTGGAAATGGGGAAGAGCTTAGCCACTGCTTCAGCCACTATTCTAAGATCTGGGGTAATATGTTGGTAATAGTTGTGGTAACGGTTGGGCTAATACGTTAGGGTCATCCAGACTCAACTGTTCTGCCTGGTTAAGACTTGGAGGTTAATTAGTTCAGGTAAGTGCTGTAAAAATGAAGCTATTGACTTTTCATTGGTTTGCCTCTGCCATTTTTCCTTGTGTCAGCAGTCTTTTGCTGTTTTTCCTCACTGTTTTTAAAAACACTTAGCTTTTGTCCTGGTGCAGAACAGGAAAGCTTGAAAGCTTGAAAATATTAATGGCATGAAATAATTGTTTTCCTCTCAGCTCTCGTATGCAATTCTTTAGTTTTGGATTATGATGGGAGACAAATTAGTAAAGTGGGATCAGTTACAGATTACAGAGAAGTTGTTTATAAGCCTGTTGGGAGGTCAGAAGGTGTTACAAGAGGAAAAGACAAAAACATAAACAGCAGTGCAGCACTTTTGGCAACTAAAAAAGGTCATTCTGTTTCCTGGTCTGAGTGGCCATCCACATCATAAACAGCTGAAAATGGTGTAACGTGTTGATTATCCCCACACCTTCACTTCCCTTGAGAAGTCCTCTTATGCATTTGTATTTGTATAAAAAATTTGCATCAGGTTAAGACTTTTTAGTCTCTTATTTTTCATGTCATATAGTAAGTAAAACCTTCACTGTCTTTTTAAGTGTCTTTTTCTTTCTATCTGAAGTGGGCAGAATAAGATTAAAATTCTTTAATACTATTAAATGAATTACTAATTTAATTAAATTATTACATTTTAACTACTTGTTTTAACCTAGTCAATTACCAAAATGGGTATTTTTGTTAAGCGTTTTCAGCCTCCATGTTCAAAGGCAATTTAATATTTATGTAGTCTAGGAAATTTGCAAGTGTACTTTTGTTTCATGGATAGGATATTTTTGGTAGATTTTAGTTTGGTAGAAATGTGCATTGCTCTGGCTTCTTGGATCATATAAATTGCCCTAAACATTTATGGCTTTGAAAATGCAGCATTAAAGTTTATGACAGAAATTTTCATTCTGTAATATGGCATACATTTATATCTGCTTTTAGAAAATACGCATGCTCTGTATATTATATTTAATAATAAAATTAAAACTAAAGGTAAAAGCTCGAGACCAGTAATATTAAGAGATTCAAGGAATATAACCCTTCCTGAGATGTCTAACAAAGACTGCTGCAATCTATTACTTTAGAGATGTAGTAGCTTGCATCTCCTTTAGCATTTAAAATTGTGATTGTACATATCTATGCTATTTAAATACTATTCTATTTCACATGTAATAAAACAATTTATTGCATCTTATGTAACTAATTTTCTTGTGAAACAGATGTATTGAATATAGACTAGACTATTCCAAAGGAAAACTAGCATCCTTTTTTTTTCTTTTTTCTTTCAAAAGCAGCAGACTGCAGCTATCATAATTTCTGTAGAAGATAAAAAAAAAAATTGCAGGTTTTATATATTGTATTTTATAGATCTTACCCAAACAAAATGCTAATTTCCTCTAGTTGAGAGCTTTGTAAGGGTAAACATCACAAAGTCTGGCTTGGGCTAGATGAATTTCTGGCACTTCAAAGACTAGTCACCGGTGAACTTAATTGCTAAACCTTTGCTATCAAAATTTGGGGAAAAAAATGCTTCAAGAGGAATTTAAACTGATCTAGTGAAATTACTGCAAACTTTCACCTTTTATTTAAATCAGAGCAGTGTTTTCCAGGAACGTTCTCTCTTTTACCCAATGTTGGATGTGCTGATCTATGTGCTAATCTAATTGTTACACAAATGCCCTTAAAACTCTGCATAACAAAGAACTGGAACCCATACATAAGTCCAGTACTAGTAGATTGCTTACATGAGTAGACATCCCTGAGTACTCTTCCATGCCACTGATTTTATCTCCTTTTGCTGTTTGAAGGGACTTTGGCATTTGAAGGAACTAAGAACTTAGAGGAGACAGGAGATTGCTGATCATGCAGAGCAATTGTGTTGGAGTTAGAGATTTTATAAAGAAATTACAGTACTATAATTGCTTTAATTGCATTATTATGCGGAAACAAAGAATGAAATTCTGGCATGCTAAAGTGAACAACAAAATGCTCATTCATTTCTACTGAGCCAAGATTTCACCTGAAGGACTTTCTTCTTCCTGTGAGATACTCAGATTTGTAAGTGGTGAAATGCTCATAAAAAAACATGACAAGTAATAAACTTCACTATTAACTACGCTTTAAAATTGCATATTTACCAGATCAAATAACTATTTAACACAGTATGCCTAGGTAGCACTTTATAGCCATCCTACCTTCTTTTCTTGTGCAGTGTTTGGAACAGTTAAAGTGTAGATTCCACTTGTTGTCAGTCCAGATTTGAAAGCTTCAGCACAGTCTTTGAAGCTGATTTGCTCCTCTTTAGCTATGAAGTTGTTCTTAGCTGCTAAAAATACAATAGAAATTGAAGGCATTAAGAGGAGATGACTAAAAGTTACTACGAAGCAATTAATGATGTAATCAGCTGAAAGCTTTGCAGTTCCAAAAAATAAGCCTGGTCCTGAAGGGAATGACAGATCAAGGTATTAATTATGTGTGTTGTTGCTTTATATTATTTAGAGATGTTATTCTGATATGAGCATGGTTGCTTGATGGGTTGAAAAGTGATGACACTTACTAATATGTTGAATAATAAAACTTAGGATATAGCATCTCATTCAGTTGAACAATTTCTGCTTCCATTCATTGCCTTTGCTGGACTCTTACATGCCTTACAACCTCTGCATGCATTAACTACTACTAAAACATATCTAATTAGAAACTGATTATCTTAGTATTGACCTTTGGCCAGTACTCTAAAATTGTGAAATCTAACATAGGAGTTAGGAAATCTTTTATAATACAGCTGACTGGAATAACTACTCTTACAAAGTTTGAGCTAGTTTTTTTGCTCCTGTGCTGAGCAGAAACAACTTTGTATGTACCAAGCTGAAGCTTGGTAGCTCAGCCCAACCCACTAAGGAAACATCCCTTCTGGAATTCATTTGTGTAAAAAATACACTTTAGTATGCCTAAGCCTTCTTGTTTTACAGAACAATCTAAGGCTCATCTTTTTGTTCGGTTCTTTATTAACTATGGAGGTTGGAATTTCCTGGCATTTTGCCTGCTGACTGATACTTCATATTTGACCCTTTTGGGGTTGGTTCTGTGTATTTTCTCTTTTAATTTAATCTAACAAGCACAGACAGTTAGTACAAAGTTTTAGGTGCCATATAAATGTATGCTTATATTACAGTTGCTTATTATGTTCTTTTTAGCTTGCTTATTCGTTATTTACCAGTTGACATGCTTTGCCTTAAATACAAAAATAACACGTTCAGTGTTTTAATTGCTTTTCCACACTCTATTGTTTGTATACTGTCTTAGACGCTTTCCCTGCTAATTTTGTCTTTTTGGCAACCATTCATTATTTTTTCCACTCTGGGTTTAAGAGTGTTGTAGCCAACATGACTTTGACTTGTTTACTTATTTGTGCACTAGCATAGCAGATAACATCAGCAAGAACATGTTCAGCCTTGGTAATGGTATTTAAGGGGATAGTGTCAGTGATTAAGACCAAAAACTTGGGGTTTACTTTGTTTAGAAAAACCTACAACATCATATTATTTAGGACACTACTCTAAGCAAGGACTCCCGAACACCCTTTTCCTTTTTTGTGATCCAACTTACAGGAATGTAGCATAGACCATCTATACAGTCTTTTAAGTTGTAATGACAACTGTTTTAAAATCTTCCTAGTATTTAATTTTAAATCCTTTTTTTAGAGTTTCTATATGATTGTGTATTTCCAGCCCTGAGAACTTTACAGGCAAACATGCCAGATTCTTTACTCTTTTATATAGAACAGCTATACATTCTTAATTTGTCAAAGTTCCATAAGACATGGAGACATGAAATTCAAGGTGAGGAATTTGTTCATCTGTTTAAATCCTGTTTAGCCATAACTTTCCGTTTATGGTTTGTGTGGAGTTTTTATAGAGCATATGAATCTGCATAAATTTGGAAGCTATGTTCGGTGGCTATGATTTGTTGCAGCACTGTCAGGCATTTAGGGGTGAGATTATTGCCTATAAAATTTGCTAGGCTGAGGAATTTTTAGGATGAACAGGGAAGCCTCAGTGAGAGATTGTAGGACTTCTGGGGGTACCTGCTGCCCGGGGCTGGTGCTTTCTGTTGTTTGGGGCATACACAGGTGCTAAAAACTGCCAGTGCTGATTCCTTTGCCTTTAATAGCCATTATAATTTGTCCTTTCTTTGATCAACTCTTTGTGCATAGAGCAATCAGAGGTGGCAGAAGTAACCTTTGTGAGCCAGGAAGAAAAGCTACAGGCCTACACCATGCATGTAGATATAGATACATGGCCAAGAGAGTGTGTATTGCCAGATGAATGAATGCCACGTGAGATGAATGTCATGTGAGACGAAGGCCAACCATCTCCTGGGCTGCATCAAAAGAAGCACAGCCAGCAGGTCGAGAGGTGATTCTGCCCCTCTGCTCTGCTCTGGTGAGACCCCACCTGGAGTCCTGCATCCAGGTCTGGAGCCCTCAGCACAGGGAAGACATGGACCTGTTGGAGCGTGTCCAGAGGGGGGCCACAAAAATGCTCCAAGGGCTGGAACACCTCTGCTGTGAGGACTGAGAGAGTTGGGGTTGTTCAGCCTGGAGAAGAGAAGGCTCCAGGGAGACCTTATTGCTGCCTTCCAGTGCTTAAAGGGGGCTTATAAGAAAGATGGGGACAGACTTTTTAGCAGGGCTTGTTGCAACAGGACAAGGGGTAATGGTTTTAAACTAAAAGAGGGCAGATTTAGACTAGATAGAAGGAAGGAATTTTTCGCAGTGAGGGTGGTGAAACACTGGCAGATGTTGACAGAGAGGTAGTAGATGCCCCATCCCTGGAAACATCCCAGGTCAGGCTGGTCGGGGCTCTGAGCAACCTGATCTAGTTGAAGATGTCCCTGCTCATTGCCGGGGGGTTGGACTAGATGACTTTTAAAGGTCCCTTCCAACCCAAACTATTCTACGATTCTATGAATGATACTTGGCATCTGTATTTTGTTGAACCCCTGGAGGAGTGGGCAGGCAAACCAATATAAACCACAGAAGATGAGCAAAATGTTGAAAAGAAACCACATAAATGTCGTCATTGTTTCCCCCCACCCCTAAAAAAATAGTTTAATTAATCCAGAGCAGAATTTAAGGCAAAAAAAAAAAAACAAACTTTTTGAGAAGCAAAAGTGTGGCAAAACTGGTTGTAAGGCCTTATAGGTAATGTACACAAATTAGGGAATGTCACTCAAATGATATAAGCATGTCTGCTTTTACTTACAGTTTGGTGTAGATATCATAGTAAGCAAGTTATGAACAGTCTCCATCAGATCATGTTGCTGTTTTTGCAGAACCGAGTTGTTTACTGTAGCTGTAACTAACTGTTTTTCTAGTTCTTCTATAATAGAATTCTGTCTGGCTACTAGGACTTGAAGCTGATCTTTTTCATCTTTTATTGACTTCAGCTGAAGTGTGTGCTTGTCTTCCATCTCAAGAACTCTTTTTTCTAGAAAGCTAAATAAAAGATTACAATTAGGCTCCCCGGAAACAGGTTTGAGTTTATATAAAGAGAAGCAAGTCTGTTGCAGAAGTTTCTTCGTAAGTACTTGAACTTAATTCTCTGATGCCATGCATGCAGTAGAAAGCTAAATGAAAGGTGAGTTTAGTTTAATATATATGCTTTCATTTATTGTATTAGTACCTTAATAAACAACATTGTCTACTATAGTCTGTATTTCAGGCTTTTAAAGTGTAACCATTGCGTGTTCAATATTTCAACATTATGAAATGAAAGATTTAGTGAAAGATTTCATGGTTTTACGCTATTAAAAAATGAAACTTATTTAAAGATGAACCTATTAACTTTTCAAATGTCCTGTAATTATAATAAAATATATACTTAATATAAATAAATGTTACGGCGTTAAGACAGGGAAACGTGCAAATAGTTACTTGAAGATGTGTTACCCATCTCCAGTTCTGGAGCTGGTGTGAGTAGGTGACTGGCTGGAACATTATTTCATTGGCTAATTGTTCTGATGCAGACTCTGGGAAAGCTGATGTTAAAAAATGCATGGCCAAAAGGGAGAAGTTCACCTAAAATCCATTGCTGAAAAAAAAAAATCCTGAACCTTATAATTAGGTTTCAAGCAGATTAGCTCAATGTCAGGTTGGTTTTTGTTAGGTGAGAAACAATGCTTTTGTGTTTACGTGGGTTTTACAAGGGTAGTCTAAAGTCTGCTGGGTTCAACACAAAACCAGTGACATTTTAAAATTCAGTATTTGCTTTCCATTTGATAAGGATGCTTGTTTTTATTAAGGTGGTAGATAAAACCTTTAGGGAACATATATAAATGTAGTAGAGTAGTGAACAAAAACGTCAAAACATGTCTCCTGGTTTTTTTAGGCTAATTCTTTCAAAATAAAAAGCACTTTGCACATATGGTTCTCATTGAAAAACATGGCTTTGAAGGAGGAAACTTACTGTTCTTGCTGCTTTTAGATTTCTCTGTAAACTATTTATTGCCAAAAGTAAAATAAGACCCTGGTGATATGAAAATGAAACTAGCTGAAAAAAGGTATGAGCCTTTGGACAACAGCTGAGTACAGAAATGGATAGGAATAATAGCTGGATATCGGTCTGAATTTCAAAAGATTGACTAGGAAGGAACACTAAATAGGAGTAGTATTTGACTTTTCTCACCAGGTTAGAAAAAAATTGTGGCAATGACCTGAGTGTGTTTTAGGATATCTGTGTACTACATGGAAATAAAATTTGAGAGATGTGGTTGCACTGGATTTATTTGAGTCAGGTTACATAATCCGTAACTTCATCTGGATAAGTCTAAAGAAGAATATAAATTGGCTACAGCTGAAGTACTGAGAAGTATTTCAGTTTTAACCTTAAGTTCTTCATATAAAGGAGAACTTTAGATAGTGAAGAATGATACATAAACAGTACACAAGAAGAATAAACCTACATGATTCTCTAGGCCTTAAATAATATATGACCTTTGTAATGAGCATACCTGGGTGTGGGGAGCTTCTGTACAAGGCCTTATTTTCATATTTGATTACATTTGTTTCTAAAACCATTAGAAGGGCACTTCAGGGAATAGCATTTTATTGGGTTGATAGGCAAACTTACCTGTTTTTTTCTTGTAATTTAGTTATCTCGTTGGTCTGATCTGAAATCTGTCTTTCTAGTTTGTTTGTTGAAAGAGAGTGTTCCAAAAGCTGAAGTTCAAGTCTGGTTGTCTGGTTTAAGACCTAAATAAAATTTATAAAAATACTTGAAAATCAACATACTATTTTAAAATAAATTGTAATTTCTTTATGTTGTGAAATCATGCAGATCTCTAATTAAGCCTAGAATTAAAAAAATATTTTGAGCACTTAATTTGAGCACGAATGCTCACAGAATATGAATGAAGAAGAATACACAGAGTTGCACTAATTTTGTTGTTACACTACCATATATCATTAGGAATATTTCAGTAGTATGCTACATTTCTGACCAATGCCTGAGAGTTAGCGTGTGCTTTAGTTTTGCTGTCATACGTTCCCCTCTGTTATGATATTCTTATTTCATTACTGGAACTATTACGGTTGCTGTTCAGAGAATAATTTAAGTTGACTTGTTTTCTCAATCTGGTGTAGAAAGAAAGTACTTTGTGTATCTCTTACCGGTTGAAATCTTGGCCCAGTACTGATACCACTAGATAGTTCCTTTAGCTATTTTCCTTAATCCCAAATTATATTTTAAAGTGTTTATCATATGAACCACACTTTTGTTGATTCATTCCTTGCATTTAATGTTACCTTTTCTATATATATTGTTCACTGTCTACATTCATTTGCATCTTTAAATGAAGAAATGCAGATATTAGGAAACATGGAAGATAGATACTTTTTGTATCAGATTGCATTACTTTGAGGCATGTTTTCTAGAAATATTTTCTCATTGTTTTAGAACAGCTTTTTTTAATTCAGCAGAATCTGGGTTTCCTTGGCAGGAAGAATTGATTACTCATGTCCTTCATGTTAAACAGTCATTCAGGACATGATTTCACACTTAAGTGTAATTGAAAACTATTGCCAAAAGTAAGTGTCCTTGAGAGTAATTGTTTGGTTAATTTCCTTATGTTGTTAATTAAGCCCTTAACCCAGTCACCAGTAATTTCAAGCAGAGAAGGAAAGTTACAGTGATGATTTTCTTCCTCTAAGCAGAAAATAATTGAATAATTTCCATAAAGACATTACTGTGAATGAATAAATACATTCTCTCAACACGTGCAAAATACTGGGCTCCTGAATAATGCAATCAGAAAGTTGAATTCAGTTCGCCTGTGAGCTATGAACTATCAGTTTATCAAAGAGTTCACAAAGGCTTGGTTTAGGTTAAAAAATGTAATTTAATTTATTGGATGAATTCTACAGATAGTAAAATGTCTAACAAGGATTTTAGGTTTTGCATGCTAGTTACATTGTATAAAAAGTTATGTCCTACATGCTAAATTCATTGTTTGTTTTGGGAATCATATATCTGAATTTTCCTACCATGTTAGCAAAACTACAAATACATACCATTCTACATTGATTGGACTTGTCCTTATAGCATGTTAAAATCTGCATTCTATTTCACAGAATGTCTTATTGCAGTTAATGCTTTTCAATTAAAGCAATAATTAAAGATAAACCCATTAATTTTGTTCTGTTTGGAAATAATTTAGAAAATCATATGTACAGTAGACAAGATTAGTTCTGTGTGAATACACTTTTCTAATAGCCTCCTCCTAATTCCTTTTTTTTTCATTCATCTCTGATTCATTTATTTATCCCTCTGTTAAATAACTAATATAGTGCATTGTGCTGGAAATGAACTATCCCACTTACAGTATCTGTGAAAACATTCATTAAAAAGACGCATTTTTTCTTGATAAGAAGTTTTAAAAAATACAAAAGAAAATTAAAATGTAAAAAAGCAATTAGCCTGGTAAATGGAACAAAGGCAATTTGAAAGAACTGTCTTTTAGCTAAGATCTGGCGATGAGATGTGAATAATCAACAGAGATATACAACAAGTGTTGTATAAAAGCATACTAGTACCCAACTGATGCTTGGATATAGTATAGTAGTTTTACATACATTATCTTTAAAGATGAGTGTTCCTGCTGTAATGGAAGTCTTTCAGGTGGCAACAGTGGGCTTGAGATGGAATTATGTATTACCAAATACTAATGTTTCCTTAAGCTGGGTAGAGCTGTTGATTTTAAAGATTGACACCTAACTGCTGAACTGAATAGTGTAACACTGAACTGTGTTAAATATATAGCTGTAGGTGTTTGGGAAGCAGAAGCATTTTGAGGTTGAAATTCATTACTTACTTGTGCTTCAACATCTGTTAATTTGCGGGTCTGTTCAGCTGTTTGATTTAGTAAGTTTGTGCCTATTTCAATCATTACTGCAGTCTGGTTCTGCACTGCAGTTTGCTGGATCTCTACCATTTCTTTCTTCATACTGTCTTGGATGTAATTCTCAAGCTACATGGGAAAGGAAAGAGAGAAGATAGTTGCATTCTTTAAATGTTGGAAGGGGGGGTAGTACAGTAAGCCTGCTGGCTGCCTTGCTAAAGAAATTTGTTCCTTGTCCTTGTCTGTTACGCATTTATGTGAAGTGTCCCAATGTCAAGCTCTGTGAGAAGGGCAAATATGACAAGGAATGTGTGGCCACCCGTCTTCTAAAGGCAGGAACAGAGGTTTGCACAGGGAGGTAGAAGGTGCGGCGGTGAGAATGCTTGCGGGCACTTGGAAGCTTTTCTGCCTTAGTACTCCCCCCATTGTAACCACCAGAGGAGCTTCACCAGCTTTGGCAGCGATGGGAATTTTTTAGAAGACAAAGGCTTAGGAGTTTAGTCATCTTCCTGTATCTAGACTTAAATATTTTCAAAAGCATTTTTCATCACATGACTAGAAGTCAGAAGAGAGGTCAGATGTCATTTAACACTGTTATGTGTGCATTTTTAAGAGAGAGAATTTCAAATAAAGACATGAAACAGTAGGAAAACCTATAAATACTTCAAATGCTTAATATTTAGGAATGCAAAAACTGTTTTAAATACTCAAGTCATTTTATTCTCAAGTCATTTCTGTGTCTAAACTAATGAGGCTTTGTTGGTAGTCATTTTATATAGTACACTGCTTTCAGGGAAAGCAAGGAGAAAATAAGTAGCAAGGAGAAAATTCAAGTAACCTTTCATGAAGACTTTCTTTCCATTTGTCTGCATTATCCAAAGGCAGTCTAATTTTTCTCCATGCCTCTTTAATATAATTTTCTCAATAATTTTGCAGATATTTCATATTTCTTTCATGAGTCATTGCTTATGTTTGAGCTCTTAAAATTCCAGGCCACGTGATTTTTTTTTGTTATTGGCCAGGGAATTTCTAGCAATTTCTAGAACCTAACTTCTACTTCACTCCAACATTGTTCTAGCAACAGAACCGCAATAATTTTTGACCTTCATGCTGTACCTACATAGAGGATACTAGCTAATAACAAATAGCTAGTGTCATTAAGCACTAATTATAAAACATCACCAATTCCTAATCTAAGGAAAATGGTAAAACAGGTTGATATCTTGATTTTTTTAAATATTATTTTCATAATGCTGTCTTGATGTGAAAAATGGCTTGCTGTGAAGAGGAACTTTGAACATCATTATATGGCTACTTTCCATATCAGTGAGGAAAAAGCAGCTTATGATTTAATAATTTAATAATTTTTCTATCAAACCACTGTTCAGATATAGCCATTCCACTTCTGATCAGCTAAAGGACAATTGGCAGATGTATCAGTTTGGAACGTTTCCCTCTTAAATACTACTTGAGCAAGGACTGGAATTTTTTCTTCTGACTTCACAGTTGTTTTTTGGAAGTGGCAACTGAAGAAAGCAGGGTTATTAAGTTAAAGTCTCTAAAACTAGAATTATATTCTTAGTTTGAAGTAAGCATTACGTCTTTTTGTCCAGTGTGACCAAACTTTCAAAGCATTATTTGTTTTATCTATTTCTTCCTATGCAGCTTGTGAACTGCAATGCACAACAGAGATTTCAGATCTGGCACAAGCTTTGACCCACATCTACTATACTGCTGCATAAGTGTACTTACTTCTCAGGTGTACCACACGGATTTAAAACTAGCCTTTAGACAGCCTTTAGATGCTCTTTGTGTAATAACCTTTTTGAATACTAAAAGTAAGCATACAATCAACCGGATTTTGGCATGATAATTTAACATGGGTATCTTCAATCACCGTCACGCTATGGCAATTAGAGTTGTTCCCTATTTAGAGGATCAGTTCTGAAGTGTTACCTTTTGCTTCTGGATACTCCTCATTTTCAAAAGCTGCCCCACCCAGAGACAAATCTAATTTGACCGAAAAGGTTGGAATTGTTTTAAAACTGCAGTGACATCTTTTAGGTCAGCTTCTTCTTTTCTGATGAACTAAGATCAGTGGCTTTTAAATTTCTAGTAATGGTAAAACATCTTTGGTCCTTTATGATTAGGCTATGCAGTGTTGGAGTATAGTGATGATTTAATTTAAAAAGCAGTGCAAAATGGTATTTAGTGCACCATAATCCAAGGAGATGTGCAAAATTCTGAAGGCTTTTATATAGATAAAGATAAGTAATTTTTCACAAAAGTTAGATGCTGCTCCATGAAGACCAAGAACAACAATTAATATGTGTCCTTCCAAAAAGGCTAGACATCTGGGAATTAAACAATTTATATGACTCTAAATTAACTTTCGCAGCTGAAGCTGGCGAACTGCACATCATTATAGACAACTTGGAAAAGACCTTTGTTCAAATGCACTTCTGTTAAAAGAAAATGAAGGGAGATCTCCAGAATGCATTTTATGTGCCTCAGTACCACAGTCAAATATTGTAATGCCTTTATAAAGATCAGGGATATGGCCTCGCTTGGCAGACTCGATGCACGTCTGCAGTTAGAAGGGTCACTGGGAAAAAAAAAAGGACATACAGATAAAAAAAGACATCTCAGGTATCAGAGAGCTACCATATGAGAAAGCACTGAAAATATTGCATCTTCTTTAATTTAGAAAAAAGGCTCAAAAAATAAAAAAAGGCAGCAATAAATAGATGAACAAAGAAAGATTGATCAAGAGCTTTGATTCTTTCATAAAATCAGTGTGGATATTAAACCTCATTCTTCAAGGTTAGTTCTTTGTTCACTAGGGAGGGATCAGAATGAGAATCTGAGCAAAGTAATCTCTGCAAATAGGATTACAGAACTGCGTGACTTCTTTGAAAATGTTATCACTGAGTTATTCCAAAACACACAACTAGAAAATGAGTTAATTCTGGGCTTAAAGGTAAGGTAAACATTTTACGGTAGGCTTAGGCAACTGTCCAGTTAAAACACACAGCTTTAAGGTTGCTCTGATTACAGTACACAAAACCTGTGATTACAATTTAAGGCATCTGGTGGTTCTGGTTGCCAGATTTTTATACCTCTTGTCACTGTGTTTGCAACCTTAGAAAGCAGTTTTGTTTTGACACACAGATCTGCATTTTCATAATTTATCTTATTTGAATATCTGTAAGTGTAAGCCTGTCTCCAAGTATCTAACCTCTTTCAAATAATATCTCATTCATGTGATATATTCTAAATCACTGAAGTATTCTCTTGACTCCAGTTTAACAGTTTGTCTTCACATCTGTTTTTCAACTTAAAAATATTCAATAGGTAACTTAGGGAATATGGTATTTCTGCTTACATGAAAGCATGAAATACGAACATCAAAAGGGATTTACTTTAATATTTAAAGCCAGTTTCATGATCTGGATCATTTATTCTAATTTAGAGCAACATGAAGCATCAAAATGATATTGAGCTATTAAGTGCCTTTGGAGCTTCTTGGGTTTTTTTCCCTAAAAATTCTACAAAGCATGATTACATAAACCTCATCTGTTCTTTCCTTCATATTCACTAATCTTCCACTTTTGTGCATTCTCTGCAGGTACACATCATACAATCTCTTTTCCTGACCTGAACCAAGACACGCACTCATCCTTCTTTGCTTATATTCCCCCCTGTCTTCATCATACAATGCAAAACTGTAGAAAGTAGGACTTGATAATTTTTTTTTAGGGGCAGGTGCTTACTTTCATCTTTCTTCAAAGACAAATAAAAGAATGGCTTTCATACAAAATGCCCATCATCTCCCACTGATCTTAGCGAGAGCAGAACATGTTCCTCTTGCATACTCTTGGGAAGCAAGGCTCTTGCGTTTCCCCGAGAGATGGGTAGAAGAACTTTTTCAATACATGCTCCAGTTAAGGCAGCCCAGGCTGAGCTTCATCAGCAATACTAAGGATTAGCAGCCATTTTGCAAGACCGCAGTTCTTTGTGGCACACTGCTTTGTAGAGTACTATTCATCAGCTCCTGCCAAGGAGCCTCCTTCCTTTATAAGCAGTAGCACACTCAGAATTTCTGAAGGGGGGAGAATAGCTTGGGTCATTTACAAGAGGGAAGGGCACAGGAATGGAATGCTTCAGTCCCCATCCATGAGTCCAGAAGATTGGCAGTTCAGTTCAAACAGCATGTCTGTCTTCTCCAACATTTTGCTCAAATTTGGAAGGTGCAGCAGGAATTTTTGCAGGAATTATTTGCCAGATTTCTCCTTTGCCACATGGCTAGTTATGGGATTATTAATTAAGTTATTAATTTTTAATCTCTTTTTAGTTCAATTAATAGCTGGCGTGTAATACTTGTGTTGATGTATGTTAAACTTGATTACATGTTGGTTATTTTGGACAAAGTACTCATCAAAACCTAAGAGCTGACTATTAGTGATGCATCTTGCAGAAATTCTGCTTTTGAGGGAGTAAATCAATCAATGAAACCTATCTTAAGGAAATTGCAGGGG